CCAGAGGGGTTCTGCTCAAAATTTTATATCTTACTTGATTTAGATTTTCTCTATGTATGAAACTCAAAAAGAAGTCCAAGTACTAGCAAATTATCCAGCACACCCCAACGTAACCATCTTAAGTACAGAGACTGCTGTAAGCATCAGGCCATCAGCCTTGGAACAGATTCCAACAGGTTTACCCGAAGTCCCGCGAAATGCACTGTTCAGGTATAGAAACCCAACAGAGAACAAACTCTCGACTACTTTAAAAACAATTAAACAGACCCTACTTCTCATTTTCTGTTAGTAGAGGAACCCTAATAAGTTAACATTGTATGAGAATCAAAAAACAAAAAGCTCTCACAGCGGTCCCAGGAAGCTCCCGCTGCACCACAGCAACAGTTTATGGCTGCTGTAGCTCAGAACACCTAGCTCTAGCTCAGAACACCTCCAGAAACCGGGGGGGGACACAAGGATCCCGGGTGCTGCATGTGCATGGGGCACAGTAAGTAATGGAGTGGATTACAAAGCTGTTCTCGTTTCCATTTTCCCCTTGGTCCTGCTCCTTTTGTTGGGGGTGGAGTGGGGTAAGAGCTAGAAGCTTCTGGTAGCTGTAAGACTACAGAGAAGTTTCTCTAGGACGACCCCGCAAGTTGTGGCCCTGGCTTAGCCCCAGCCCCGTGTGAAGACAGATCACAGCCAGATCGCAGCCATACAGTCCCTTGCAGGCAGGGGAAGGGGTGAACCAGACAGAAAACCCTGAAGTCAGCGGCTCCGGAGTCTGAGTCAGCATCTTCAAAACCACAGTGGTTGTTGAGAAATAGGCTTTCTCCCACAAAAACCCCTAATGCGACATGAATCCAAGAACTCAAACCAACACAATTTGGAGTAGCAGCCCCAAGTTGCCCGTGGGTGCCAAAGAACTGGGGGCTGGAACCCACCACCCACCCATTCATCTCTGCCTCCTGACCAAGCAGTTGTGTCTCCAAGACACCAAAGTAAAAGCAGACGACGACGACACCAATGCGAACGCGCGGCTGGGTTCGTGCACTGCCCAGGCTGCCTGGGCCTTCCTAGACTGTCCAACACAACAGTGACCTCGTCCAGGAGCTACGTGCTCCCAGTCCACTTGGACAGCCTCACATTTCAGCTAGCTGCTGCTTTTAAAATGAGGAGGCGAAAAATGCCATTTGGCCAGTTGGGCACAGTGGAAAGAGTCAACATGCCCTAATCAGTGTTGCACCGTATTAAAGCAGTTTAATCCCAAGCGTATCTTGGAACATAGACATATGAAAAAAGGCAAGACACGAAATAGTCACGAACACACAGGTGGTAACTCAGAAAATAACTTCAGAGGGAAAGATACTAACCAACCTCTTAAAGAGTGAGTGACGGAATTATGAGCAATTAATTTTATTTCTGTCCACTCTTGACTATTCTTGAACTAAGTCGGATCCGCCACCTGTCTGGAGTCGTTCCCTTGACTGGGAAGTTCCGGGAGGGATGCACGTGACACAGGGTGGGTGAAGGAGCTCCCTGCTGGTTTGCAGAGGGTCCAAATTAACCCTGGTCACCGCGAAGGGGACAGGCAGCACGCCCTGACCACGCACCGCTGATTTGCCTGTGTCTTTCAAATTTTCCTGAATGTGTATGACCTCTCGGGGGGAGGGAGGGAGTAGCATGCCGTCTCAGCTATTGGGGAGTTAGTGACTTGGGGTGTCATGCATTTAAGCACCTCAGGGGCTTCACAAACCTCCCATTTCTCCTCGGCAGGACTGTGCAGAGGGAAGGAGCAGCAAAGGAGAGCACCCAGGGGCTTTGAATCCTGAGTGTGGCAGAATTCTGAAATATGTGAGTACTTACTCAACTGTGGGCTCTGGGGATGGACAAAAAAGGCTGTATTCACCCAGCTGTGGACAATTCCCATTTCCCAAATGGCAAGTTTTCCCTTCGGAGGCCACTCATACCTCCCGGCCACCCGTCCTGCGACTCCTGGTCACGCTGTCATCACAGGCTGTGACGTCTGGGAAGGGGAGGCCATGCATGCTCTGGGCTGCTTCCTGCCACGTTCAATGCCAGGTCCTTTATCTACACATTTCCCTTCGATTCTCAAAATAACATGGAAACAAGAGCTGTTGGCCACATTCTGGGAACAGGAAAACTGAATGTCTTAGCAGAAGGCATCAGCCAACCCAGGAAGCAGACTGTGCACACTTTGTCTGATTTGGAAACTCTTGCTCCCAGGCAACCTGGACACAGCAGCCTTGTGGGGTGAAGATGTATCAGGGATTATTTTTGGATCCTGAGGGAAAAGGAAGGAGAGTCAGGTGATAATGCTTGATGATATGTTTTTTAAACTAGTGGCACAATGGGTTAAAGTGCAGCACTATGAAGCTCTCCCCAGCCACTGCAGCACGAGTTTGATTCCCAACCTGTGAGCTGACCCACATGGTGCAGCAGACCTCTCCTGACCTGCCCCTGCTCCCCTCAACAGTGTATTTTAGTACATCTGCCTGTTCTGCTCCCCATTCTGTCTCTGTTGAACCCTCTCACTTCCCACACCTCTGGCCTATACCCCAGTTCTGTATGCATAAATAAATAAAACTAAAAACAAACAAACAAAAAAAAAACAGGGCCCCTCTCTGGTGGTGCAACAGGTTAAAGGCAGCACTATGAAGCTAGCAGAAAAGCTGCTTCAATACAGGTTTGATCCCAGGCCAGGGAGGAGACCCACATAGTGCGGCAGACTTCTCCTGTCTCGCCCGCTGCTCCCTTCAGCAGTGCACTTTGTCAGTCGGCCTGTTCTGCTCCCCACTCTGTCTCTGGTGAATCCTCTTAACACTTGGCACCACTGGCCTGTACTCAAGTTCTGTAAGCATCAATAAATCTTAAAAAAAAAAAAACAACCCTGCAGGAGGTCAACAATTACAGACAGTGCCAGGCTTCCAGGAACACTGATGGTGGCTGCTCAAGGAAACTAGAAGCAACTGTGATCTCTCTGGACTCCTGGGCAGAGCCGGGAGACAACAGGAGAATGGAGTGTCCAGCACACAGGGAGCAGCTGGGGCTCCCAGCGGGCACGGCGCCGGCTCGCAAAGGAGGCAGAGGCCAGCAAGTCTGCTTGTGCCAGGCAATGCACTTTGCACACATTATTCTCTAACCCTCACGACTCTGTGCCTCAGTGACACAACCAGCATGTAACATTACTGGATTTCACCTTGACTCTGCCTGCTCCTAAGTACACCCTCTGCTAACCCAGGCAGAACCAGCCAGGAGACACTCATCTGTCAACACGGTGACGGGAAGAGCAGATCCCTTTCATGTTTACTGCATCAAACCCTAACTCACGCCCCAGCTTGCTCTTCAGTGATGCTCACGGCCGGCACCTTCCAGAGTAGCTCCAAGTTTGTGGTGCTGACCCCACCTACCCCATGACTAAACACATCCTCGTGCCCCAGCTCGGTGTGCCCAGGTGCCCCCACCTGCTGACCTTCCACAATGGCCAGCCTCCATGTGGACGGTCACCTGCTGTCCTGATGTGTCTCATGCGTTTGTGCTTCATCTTCCCTGCTGTACTCTATGTTCCTGTCAAATTAGCAGGTCCCCACCGGAAGACCCTTCTCAAGGAAGAAATCTTGGAAAAAGCAAAATACACAGTTTGTGGAAGAAATCAGAGTCCTCCCCAAACTGATTCTGTTTACTTGATTTGGAGATATTGGACAGGATGCCGCTTCTCAGACATAATTTTAAAATAGCTCATCTTATTCTATAGCCCCCAGAATACAAACACTCAACAGCCATGTAGCTGAACCCACGGCAAGTCTTACGCTTAGATTTAAGAAACTGCAGTGCTCGAATACGACGCAATAAAAACTTGGCTTGGTTATTCAAAAAACTGAAATCTTCAAGTTTTGGTAGAAAAACAAATTAAAAACAAGCTCAATGGCAAAATGTGACTGTTTATCTGAAAAGTGAGCACACACGGGAGACTGTGTTAGAGTGGCACAGCCAGACCCTGGGACTCCGGGCTGAGCCTGGGTTAAGAAACACAACGCGCCTGGTCCTGAGAGGCAAACTTCATAGAATGATAGCGCCCTCAGAGAAGAAGGGAGGGGTGTCTGCCTGGATAAAGAACAGAGAAACGTACTATGGGGTGCAAGTTACTGAGTAGCAAGTTTCTATTCGATAGAAAAAAGGGCCCTGCAAAGCACCCTCAGAGACGTCAGGGATGGCCATCCAGAGGTGCACGGCTAATCCTGAGAGCCTGTGATGCTACCTCACATGGTAAGAAGACAGTGCAGACATGAGTCACCTAAGGACCTTGAGATGGGATGTCCTCCTGGGTTATCTTTGTGGATGCAATGTATTACAAGGATATTTTAAGAGAGAAACAGGAATGTCAAAGAAAGTGGGATGACAACAAAGCAGTTAGCAGAGTCAGAAAAAGATCAGAGGCTGCTCCCCCGCTGGCTGAGCCATAGAGCAGGGGCTACAAGCCAAGGAATGCAGATGGCTTCAAGAAGCTGGAAAAGACAAGGCAATGGATTCTCGCCTAGAGCTTCGAGATGGAATACAGTCTTGCTGGCACCTAGATTTCATCCAAAGTACCATTTCAGACTTCCAGAATTATAATGGAATAGATTTAAAGCACTAAGTTGGTAGCAATCTGTCAGAGCTGCAATAGGAAATGAGTGTGATATCTGCAAGGGAATATCCACAACCAGTCCCAGTGTGCAAACTGTCCCAGGAAGGGGTCAAGAGGAGGCTGAAGATCGACCTGTCAGGGAAGCCGTGCAGGTAGGTCCCGGGTGACCCCTGCAGACCCCTTCAGCTCTGAGAAATATGCCTCAGGGCAGCGACTTCTCCTTTTTAGGTTTTTGCTACATTGACCCCCTCCCCCAGGTGGGGAAGGGCAAGGCTTCTATCTCCTGGGACTGTGGTAGTCAGTGAGAGGCATGCTTTGGGGGGTGTCTTAAAGAGTGGGGGCCACAGCAAAGGCGACTGCCCGGGGCACCTACCTGAGCAGAGGACTCCCCTGTTCCTGGCACAGGAGAAGTTGTCACACTCGCAGAAAGTCCCGTAGATCTTCCCAAACTCGCTCTCGAAGCAGGAGCACTGGTTGCAGTTGCACTCCCCTCGCCCGCTGCACAGCGGCTTGCCCTCCGCCTCCCGGCACAGGTTCTGGTACAAGCTCTGGTTCTCCCCCTCCTGGCACTCGCACCTGGAGCCCAGGTGGCTGGGGTTGCACTCACAGAGGCCGCAGACGTAAGTCCCATTGCCACTGCATCTGGTGCTGTCCGGCTCCAGGCTGGCGCTGCAGCTGCACTTGCAGTTGTAGGTGACCCCCACCTCCAAGCTGTCCCGGAATCCCACGGGCCGCAGGGTGAACTTGTGCTCTGTCAGCCTGCTCGGGCAGCTCCGGGCCTCCACCGACACCTCGAAGGATGCCTGGGCAGAAGGGAGAGGGAACAGGGTGCTCACAGTGAGCCAGGGCCTTGGGGGCACCTGTATTGGCCTCCCAATCATCCAGGGGCCCCCAAGAACTCCCACAAGGTCCTCAAGGAAGAGCAGCAGCAAACTCCCTCCCCATCTTCACACACGGTGGGGGGGGTGGGGCGTGCCCCCCCTGGCTCTTCCCCCCGCCCCCTGCCCCCTCGGATCCACAAGCTGCCTGCTGTTAGTGAGGAAGGGTACCTGACAGGTGCAGTGCTTGCCTATTTTTTGTTTAATATTGATTTTTAAAAATTTATTTATTCATACAGAACTGGGGTACAAGCCAGAGGTACAGGGGCAGTGAGAGGCTTCACCAGAGACAGAGTGGGGAGCAGAACAGGCTGACTGATGAAGTGCACTGCTGAGGGGAGCAGTGGACGGGTCAGGAGAGATCTGCCTCGCCATGTGGTCACCTCCGGGGCCGGGGATCGAACTCGCACTGAAGCGGCTGCGGCCAGCTTGCAGTGCTGCGTCCTAACCCACTGCACCACCAGGGAGGGCCCTGTGCTTGCCTTTTTAACGCTCGTCCTCTCTCAATTCTCACAACCCTGCGGAAGCAACTGCCACAAAAAGTGAAAAGACTCCCTCGAGGTTCCACAGTTCTTTTCTTTTCACTTCTACCCTCTCCTTCTCACTTCCATGTGAAAGGCATTCACGCAACAGATATTTTCTGGGCCCATCCCAGTGCCAGGCACTGCACCGCACATGCTCCCTGAACTCCTGGGGTCCACAGACTCTGGCAAGTGCCCGCCCCCCTCAGAAGCCTTCCTCCCCTGGGGAGAAGCCCATCTGCTCAGGCATACCTACAACCTGCCCCGCCCCAGCTGGGGACCCAGGGGTCTCATGGCGACACTTCCAGGTGGGCCCTGAGGCTCAGGGTGATGACTGCTGCAGGGGCCACACACAGACAGATGTTTCCTTTTCTAAAAAACTTGTAAAGCAATGTTTCTGACTCCTGAGCTGCTCGTCGGTTGCCTTGGAAACAGTACAAAGGCCTTAAAGTAGATGTCGGTGCAGGAAAGATGCCTGCTAGCCGCCCACACCAACGGCACGTGAGGGAAGCCAGGCAGCTGCCAGGTGTGGCTGTCCCCCTGCCCTCCCTCCAGCAGATGAAGTCAGTCACCACTCGGCCTCCAGGCAGTACTGTGGGGCCCCACAGGCAGGCAGCCCACAGCCCCTGACAATGCTGTCCCGAAGGCATCTCCCCCAAGCGGCAGTGCGCCCTGCCCAGAGGAGACCCAAGACAGACCTGGGTGGGCTCCAGACATGGAATCCTGACAGCCAAGCCCAGATGTCTTTATTTTTCAAAAAACTCCTCATGTAATTCTGAAGCTCAGTATAGGTCAGGAGCCCATTTTAGCTGTTATTTCTTTGCTTTTATAAAAAGCTGATTTTTTCAACACACAAAAGTCAGAGGCTTTCCTATACAAAAACAACCAATCAGAAGAAGCAGAAATTTTAAAAAAAATTCCCTTTTCAATTAAAACAAAAAAAAAAAAAATCAAATACCTGGGAGCCAACCTAACAAAAGAGGTAAAAGACTTACACAAAGAAAATTACAAAACACTGTTAAAAGAAATACAAGACACCATGAAATGGAAAGACATCTCCTGCTCATGGATCGGGAGAATTAACATCATCAAAATGGCCATCCTACAGATTTAACACGATCCTAATAAGAGTCTCAATGACATTCTTCAAAGAAATAGAAAAAATATTGATGAGATTCATATAGAACAACAGAAGATCTCGAATAGCGCAAACTCTCATGACTAAGAAGAAAGAGAATGGAGGGATTACAATTCCAAACTTCAGACTATACTAAAAAGCCATAAAAATCAAAATTGCATGATACTGGAATGAGAACAGACATACAGACCAGTGGATTTGAATAGAAAACCCAGATATAAACCCACAGGTTTATGGACAGCTAATCTTTGACAAAGGAGCAAAGAAGATACAATGGAACAAAGAAAGTTTGTTTAGCAAATGGTGCTGGGAAAACTGGGAAGCTACATGCAAAAACATGAAACTAGATCGCTACCTCAGACCATACACAAAAATCAACTCAAAGTGGATTAAAGACCTAGATATAAGAACAGAAACCATAAAATACCTGGAAGTAAAGATGGGCCA